ACACTGTTCTGCTCCTGCACTTTCATTCCCCTGGGAGCAGGTTGTGTACCTTGCCTTGCAGAATCAGCAGACACTTGCAGCTGAGCTCTTTCTGAAAGGTGTTCTCAACAGTTTCACAAGTAGCCTCAAGCTATACTTCAGCACATTTGTTCCTTGATGAAAGCACTTTGATAAAATGAAAATGGCATTACTGGCAGCCAGACATATCCTTATTAATAGATGCCACTATCAAAATACTAACCTCCCTCAAATCTGGTCAGGTAGGTACTATTGAAGTTTCTATTACACAACACAATGATCAGCTCCATCCTCCTCATCATCATACACCTGACAGATGGATTACAGAGAGAGACAAAATGTAGATCCAAGTAGAAAAAGGCACATGTCTAATGGTCTCCTTCATTCCCTGCCAACAGTGCCAGCCACACCTCTACTAGGAATGAGATCCCACATGGAAAAAAAAAGCCTTACATAAATTTGAGATATTTTCTCTGTGGCCAACATCGTGTAAATAAGGAGTAAAGCTAGGCTTGTGTTTTATATATATATATATGAATTAATGCTTTCGGTGCAATATATTCAACATACAAATCAAACTAGTTTTTAACTCATTGCATCTAAAGGTCATGAACCTTTAGATGCCTGAACCTAGTTTTCTAGTCACTTGGTAATAAGATACCTGAAATTCAAGCCTGGAAGCAGAATTTTCCCCTCATAATATTAAACCAAACTTTTTAGTGCTATTTCGAGCTGAAAAATTGGGTTGAGGTTTTTGCTAAGTTGTACTTTCTACAAAACACATTACTTGTGAACATATTCTCCCCCCAGTTAAATACATCTTCAATAGTAATAGTATCAGCTTCTTTGAAACCATAATGTCTCAATCTGAAAGTCTGGATTCAGATTTCCTCTGGAACACCTATTTACATTCCTGTTTTACAGACTTCATTCAATTACATAATTTATTTCAAATAATTTAAGAAAGGCACTTCCTAGAGATATCTTTTCTTTTTTTCATTTTCAAGTTCTCAAGATGCTAAAATATATATAAAATTGATAATATTCCAAAGAAAAATATTTATATTTTTAATTTCTACATAACTTTATGGTCCCAAAGCACATCAGACATGAATTACACTTCACTAATCTCCAACAAAATAGGAAGGAATAAAACATTATGCTGAAGCACACACTTTTTGAGCTTAAAGTTACAGATTTCAAGCACCAGAAAGAATAAAAAAAGGATATGACTCCTTTGTACAACGACTGAAATCCATGAACAGTGGTAGAAGAAGCTATCTGCGTCTGAACAGAAGGACAGTACCATCCAGCAGAAACACAGCACTGAGCTGTGGTCAGCTGCAGCAGCACACAAGGGCAACCACAGATTCACACAAATCAGTGGGCATGGAACAAGTCACCTGCCATGAAACCCGGGCTGGCAAGTCCAAATCGTGTATAGTTGTGCAGAAATGCAATCTCCATACCATTAAAAATTACTCTTGCTCCAGATACAGGAGAAAGCTATCCCCAACTTTGTATTTTTAACTTCTCCTCCAAAAAGTGGAGTAACTGTAGCCTTCTGTACCCTTTCCTCTGCCACTGTCCACATTTAACCTGTATCAGGGGCTAGACTATGGCAGTTGCTTTATCACCCCATGACTTTCCCCAGCCAAGAAGTGGGACTGGGAGGAGTGTTTTGCCAGTTATGTGGCCTAGCATAAAGGATACAGCCACCAGCAGAAGGCATGCACAGACGTCACCACCTAACTCCAGCGAGTACAGAAAGAAAGTAGAGTCATTAAGGCTGAAGAAGACCTCTAGGATCATCAAAAGTCCAGACATCATCCAGCACTACCATGACCATTAAACCATGTCCCCAGGTGCCACAGCCACATATTTTTTTGAACACCTCCAGGGATGGTGACTCCACCACCTGCCTGAGCAGCCTGTTCCTATGTCTCAATACTCTTTCAATAAAGAAATTCTTCCTGATATCCAATCTAAACCTCCCCTGGCACAAGCTGAGCCCATGATATGGTTAACAGCAGGGGGAACAAACAGAGCAATATAGCTACTGATAGTAGATCATGTAATGGAGGAAGAAATAAGCCAAATCAAAAGTCCAGTTATAATCATGCAAAAGTCACTATTGCCAGAGAGAGGCACTGCCAGCTACGTCACTCCTGTCCCATCCTGCTGTCACTGGGAGCTCTGGCTGCAGCAAACAGCTGGGGAGCCCTTCCAGTAACAAGGGAAACCCCACACAGTGCATCCACCCCTAGAGAGGCTCCCCCGCTTCCCTGCAAGCAGAACCAGCTCCTCTACTGTTGAATTAACTTCAAAAGTGGGACACCTGGTATTGTCCTAATTGGTTTTTGCCCAAGGTGGGTCAAGCCTTGGGAGAAAACAAAAAGGAAGGTTTTTCCTGCTATAGAAAATCCTCTGCCTGGCTGTGAGAATCATCCACATGTCAACTTTAATCCAGGGCTTGGGGTTCAGACCCCAGCACTTCAGAGAAAAGATCCATGGGCTGAAATGAAAACTGATTTAATGAAACAGCAAAATGAATATAAACACCAGTATAAAGACATATCCAGCCCAGTGAATGTACAGCAGTCACAATGAACAGGACAGCAGTTCTCAGGAGCAGAATAAGTGAACTGCTCCAGGGACAGCAACTCTTGAGAGAAGGAAGGAGGAGAAGGAACCCCCAGCCTTAGCAAATTTCCTCCTTTATAATGAGCATGACATTCATGGTACAGAATACACCTGGGAGCCAACTTGAGTCAGCTGCCCTGGCTTTTGCCCCTCACAGCTTAAGCTCCTGGCTGGCTTGAAACTGCCAACAGCCTGCATACCATAGCTGGCCTAGGATTCTATCCCAGTGACACTAGGACAACTGCAAAAAAAGTGTCACAGTAAAGTCAGTAGAAAGGGGTTTGTGCCTTTCTCTCAGTATCTCACACTGAATCAAGCAAAATTTGTTTGAAGAACCACTGAGGGTTGTCTTACACTAAGGCATCAGATCATGACTTGCAGCTGAAGCTGAGGCTCATGGTCACTGCTCACACAGTCTGTCAGCTCCGTGTGAAGGAGGGGATAGATGTGTAGAAAGGTCATGTCTAAAATTATCTCAGGTTTTCCTTCAGTTTCTGCAAGCTGAAGAACTAGGAAGTTACTTATTTGCTTAGAAATAAGTTGATGTTCAACCACTCCATCTCAACTATTTCTAACTGGTTGGATAACACCCCTTGGTAGCTTCCCAGACACGGGCCAAGCTTTGAAAGTCACAGAGAGTGGTGAAGACTAATCAGAATCTGGCCAAACTCCCTGCCCCCCAGCACACTGTGGATGAGTCCCCACACTAAAGTGTGACCATTTGTGGTATGAGTATTCTTCTGCTTTCCTAGACTGACAATAAAGAATATCATCTTGAGGAACTAAAGAAGTCCTTACTCATAAAACATGCAAGCACAGGAACTTTTTGTAAGGTAGTTCACACATCCAAGGAATTATTTTGATCTCATAAAATCCTTCTCTGAAAGGACCATTAACCCAAACTCTGACTCAGAAAAGTTTTAAGAATACTAAGGAAAAAAAAAAAGTTCTAAGGAAAAAAAAAAGTTTCAAGAATACCAAAGAAAGTAAAATAAATTTGTTTCCACAATAGACCAAAGTAACAACATGTTCGTACCAAGTTTTAGTCATATTTTCAAAGTGATGTCTCAGGCATTTCCACTTAGAACAATCCAACATAGAAGACAACATAGTCCATAAGGGAATCAGTAGCACTTAGTTCCCTTAAAGATAAATTTAGGACTAAGAAAAACAAAACTTATTTTACAGGATCAGTCTTACCTGCTGTAGAAAGGTAAAATTTAAACAAGAGCCGTGAAATCAAACTAATAGTTTTCCCCACAGAATCAAAGATGGCCATCCCTTCCATTTAGCATTTTTGTTCCATGCAGATCAGTAAATTCTTTAATAATGCACCTGTCATTCTTAATCCGACTTTGATCTAAAATATTCATTATTTACTCAAGATTGACTTGACTCATGTCTCAGACTGTCTTGAACCTTTCCCTTTGAAGAAGCTAGTGGTATAAAATAGCACAGTAAATTTCTGCTCAGAAAGACAGCAATCTTATTTAGCAATAAAATGTACTTCACAGGAAGAGATTCACTTTTTACTGCTCCTATGATTTAAAGATCTTAATTAACATCAGTTTTACTTCCCAAAGGAAAACAGCTGCTCTTGGTGACAAAGCATTTTCAGAGCACAGCACAAACTGAAAGCTGAACTGAATGATATCATGGGCATCCACAGCAAAGCTTTCAAACACCTTTCAGAGGGAAAAGAAAAAGGAAAAAGCAGCTTTAATGGGATAAGACTGAAGGGTGAGCAGGTCAGTAACTGCTCTATACACTAGAACGCAGAGCTTACAGATACACAGAGCACTACAGAGACTTCTTCACAGCCCTGGAAACACTAACACTATGCATCACAAATGCTAAAGGTTTTGAGCTTCTTTTCTGTCTGCAAGGCATATTTTGGTTTTCATTAGAATTTAAAACACAGAACAAACAATTCTTAGCTCAACTTTGGTACACACATAAACAAGAACAAATTGTATTTCCTGACCCAACAGGGACTTACATCTCCCAAGGAATGCTAAAAGACTATATATTAAAAAAAGTCAGTGAAAATTACTGTGCCATCTATATATAGCTATATTGCCAAAAAGCTTACACAAATAGCCTTTAATGGAAAATTAAATGTAAGGAATAATTTTTTTTTTTTTAAGAAGCAATCTGCTTCTAATCAGAAGTTTTAAACAGATGTTAATTGCAGAAAGTTCTAGTGCAAAGTTTCATAGTCAGCTAAACACTATCGTTTAAAAAAAAGACTGAAGAGGCTGAATTTCTATTGTTGCATCTCACTAAAATATGGAAGGGATAGGACAATCAGGTAAAACATATATAGTTCCTACAAACACTTACTTGAATGGTGTGAACAGAAATGACAGTGTAGCTTCCTTTTTCTGAGACATCTTAACCTGCATAAAAAAAGCATTAAACCACTATATGCCAATTGCAACAAGATTGAAAATTGTATCAGGGATTAAAAGTAAAAATCACAGAAGAGTTCTAAGACTTTGGAAAAGGAATGAAATTATACTGTTGATATACTGTCCAGAAAACTGGTTGTTAGACTCCTGTATGTGTAACTCCTCCTAGGTCCTAGAAACCCAGACCTGCTATAAAGCAGGTAACATGAACCACTCCCTGGTCAGTAATTTCCACACAAGGATTTATGGTTGGACTTGATGATCTTGGAGGTCCCTTCCAACCTAAAGGATTCTATGATTCTATGATTTCTACGGTTTTTCAGGATAAAGGGAAGATATGGCTAAAAGTGCCAACAGGCTTCAGTGACAACCTCACTCATTGAAACAGGTATTTTTGCCAGACAGGAACTAGTACAATGCAACAACACCACCAAAGCAATGTTGTTAGATACATTAACCTGCAACATGGATAAAAAATAGAAAGTTTTAATGCCATCACAATCATTTGCCCCACGGCCCTTCGGAATTTTTTTTGAGCTTTAAGGCCTCCTGCAGGAGGAGGCAGCCTGATTTGAGTCTCACTGTTGGCATACAACACAGACAGGAACTTTCTAAGTGTACTGCTCTCAAAATCTGACAGCTTGAAGTAGAAACCCACACATCTCATCCTATCCATCCAAGTCAAAATCCTTCCAGGGAGTGCAAACTGTCGTGGGGTCAGTCCATCACAGGGAAAACAAACACCCACTTGGCATGTCTAAGCCAGCATGATGCTTCTGCTTCATCAGAGAAAGGCAAAGGAAATTCACACATGATCCTCCTAAAACAATCTTGGAAACAAGTCAGCCAAGAACAAAATAGATAATTTAGATAATTTAACACTACAAAATGACAGAATAAAGGAAGCAAGGACCAGAACGTCTTATTTTTTTAAATAATCTCCAAGACAACAATTTAATTGAAAAAGACCTGAGTCACAAACTTAACTCTTAGAGCAGAGGTCTTCCAACTGTGGAGGTTATACCAGCATCCTTCAAAACTTCACAGCCTACCAGTCACTCCCCCTGCTACATGACAGCTTTCCACCACAGATTTGGAAGTCACTCTGCTGCTGACCTGGCATCCACAAAACCAACATTTGGGAAACCGGTGTTCAAGGGATAGAAGGTACCAATGGTGCCGATCTCTTGAAGGTTTTCTCAGGCTAGTTATTTATTCCACCACTGTCACACACATTTCCTGATAGGCCAAAAGTTTTCTCTCAGCTGCCTGTCTGTGGAAAAGATAATTTTCCCTCAGAGCATTTATATGTCTTGCCAAAGCTGAGACTTTTGGATTTGAGACTGTTTCTTAAACCACAGCTGAAAAGCACCTTTGTTTGTTTGGACCAGATATGTGTTCTCCTAATACAATAATATCTGACACTAGATGAATCAAGACAGATAAGCTTTGCAATGCACGTCTGCAGAGCAAAACAACAGACACAACAGCGTTAACTAAAAGCCGATTAGGCCACTAATTTAATTTCTTAAATGGACAGGTGCTTGTTACCTTTTTGATCTGTTTGTGTATTGATCCTGACTTAGAGCTTTCTCTCCCAGCCCCTGTTGTAAAGGCAGTATTCGCCTCTTCAGGTATCAGCACTCAAGATTCTGCCTACATACTACAAGTAGGTTTACATTAAGATCAATAAACCTCAGCATTTATGTAAAGAATCAAGAAAAAGGTTAGTCATTCTCCTTACAAAAAAAGGTGTTTCTTAAAGTCTTTCATAGAATGGTTTGAGTTGAAAGGAACCTTAAAGATCATCTAGCTCCAACACCCTGCCACGGGCAGGAACGCCTCCCACTAAACCAGGTTGCACAGAGCTCCATCCAGCCTGGTCTTGAACACCTCCAGTGACGCAGCAACCACAGCTTCCCCGGTCAGCCTGCGCCAGGGTGTCACCACCCTGACAGGGAAGAATTTCTTTCTAATTTCTAATCTAAATTACCCTCTTCCAGTTTGAAGCCATCACCTCTTGTCCTGTTACTAAACCCTTGTAAAAAGTCCCTCCTCAGCTTTCTTGTAGGTCCCTTTCAAACTCCTTCAGGTATGGTTCACAGCTAGTCAATCAACATCACCCAGCATGCACATTCAGTTTTAGTCCTTTGAATTACAGCATGCTATATACAGTGTATGTCCTAGTATAACTATTTTACACATAGCAACAACTATTATTCAAAGAAATTTTTCTTTAGCATATATTTAGTTACCTTAAATTGCTCAAGAATCTGAACAGCATTGGTAAACATGCTCTCTGCTTTGAAATGATCACTATTGTTCAGATATTCCAGAGGCAGAGTTCCCTGGGGAAGAAAAATACATATATACATTAAAAAAATAAAATCAAGACACAGGAATTTCTCTAACTGAATCCCAGGCTAAATGAGCAGTAAGAATACTTCAAATGACTGCCGAAACAACTACTGTAACTCCTTTGAAAATATTCTTCTCTCATCATTTTTCAATGGCACAAGGACTATTTATAATATCTCAGCTCCTACAGGAATGCAAAAAAGTAAATAGACGTTGTTATTAAACTATATAGTATATAATAATACAATCTCAGCCTCTAATCAGAAGCCATTTTCAAAATACCCAGAAGTTTCCCAGCCTGGCTTGGGCCTGACTCACCCAGTACTAGTACTGGGAAAGCGAGCAGTTCCCATGCCACCCTGGGATGGGCAGCTTGCCCCACATGACCAGCAACAAGTGCAGGACAGGAAGACACAATCTGGGAGAGTCTCCAGAGGAAATATTTTGAAAAATGGTCTGTAAATAGGTGCTTTAAATGTGAAACAAGCAGCATGAAAGCACACTAATGTAATGCTACTTGTCAATTAGATATTTATGACACAAACTTTGGACTATGTAATAATATATGAAAGAAATTAAAAGAAAAAGCCATCTCACAATGAGGGCACTCACTATTCACTAAATTAGAGGCACAAGATGCCGTCTGAAGAAAGTACACTAGTTTAAACCAAGAAATAATTAAACATTAAATTGCAGGAACCAGCTTGTTTACAGTCTCAGCTTTCATGATCAAAATCAGGTGTTATTCAAACCATATTGCATTTTTACCATCCATAGAAAACAAAATAACAAAAACACTTTAATGTAGCTCAAGCATAAAGTTGCAACTATAAAAGGATCAGCTGCCTTTCCAGTTAAAAGCACTACACAATATGTAAAAAGATGTGAGTGTATATTCTAAAGTGAAGACACATATGCATAAAGCTAAAACTAAAAGCAGTCTCTATACTCTATAGCACTTTACAAAATCTATTCTCTTTCCCCTCACATGCTTCAAGTCTTGACCTCAACATATCTTCCTCTATCGTGAGCAGATTTCTGTAACATGGAAAAAAAGTCTGTACTTCTTACCACGGAATTCAGTGGAAAAGGCACACCGATAAGGGAAGCCATCAGTGGTGCTATGTCAGCCTGCACAAATAGAAGCATCTCCATTTTAATATAATTCCAGCCTCTAGAGATAATAAATTCAGTTTCATTTTAATGTATCTGCATTTGCAAAAGTAAATGGTATAACACTGTGAAGTTATGACACACAACTCTCCTTATAATGTACATTTTTCTCAGTTTCCAGTAGTCACCATGGCATGATTAGATTCAAAATATGATGCACCACTACTGGTAAAGCTCCAGAAATACCTTTAGTTTAAAAAGCAAATATAATCCCCCACAGTATTTGTTCACAAAATTCAGTACCTCCTTCACCACGCTCAGAAAGGCGTACCAGTTTTTATGATTATTTATACCACAGAACCAACTAAGCAGTTTTCAGCAGTACATTGAATATACTGCTCTTCACAGCACTCCTTAGCCCATGTTTCCACCGTGCTGATCACTCACCTCCTCCCCTTCAGAGGGGGATTCTGCACTTTTATTTGTGTCCAGTCAGACCTCAAGAAGGCCTTTAAATCTACCCCAAGGCAGCTCATAAACTTGTGATAAACACTGCCTCTCATCAGGTTTATATTTTCCTTTAATATAAAACTATACACCAAAATCTTTTGTTTCTCCAGCATAAGCCTGAAGAAAATACACTGAACCACAGGCACTGCTCCAGTCTCGGATCTACTGTGCAGAAGCAGACTCCAAACCATTGCTTGTAAAGGACAACATACAAGGATTGTATGTTAATCAGAAGTCTGGTTTGCTATTTTTACCCGTAGTTGCACATGTACTACAGGACTCCATTACCCAGAACAAAGCAACACTTCAGACTGTCCTATACAGACTCAAAATAACATTCCCACAAATCCTGCCAACACTGAGAGGAAAACTGGTCTCTAATTTTTACCAGGGCTTTGGTGAAAGCAGTTGATCCAGAACACTCTCAACTTTAACCTTTTAACACGAGTTTATTTCCTTAGTGTGAACAGTTTTGGAGTCTGTTATTCATACATTGGGTTCCACAGGTTGATAGGAAGTAAGAAGCAAGCAAGCTTCAAGAGCACACATGTACATGTGTTATTGTCATGATTTAAAAAGCTTGGTTGATTTAGTATCAAGGGTGAAGTCGTTCACTATTTTTTCTTCCTTCAGAGTACGAATTGCTAGTTGGCTGGGCCATAATCACAAACTCAGTTGGAAAACACCACAGTTTAGCAAGTATAGCAAGTCTTGATTTTGATTCAATCATCAAATAATGATAGCAACTTCTGGGAACAGTGACAAAATACAGACATTGAAATAGGAAGCTCTAAAAACTAAACTGAACACACATAGGTCTAACTTAAGTGTAGCAAAAGGCATACGACAGATACTCATGAACTTGAGAAAAATGGTCATCAGACCACACTTTGTGTTTCACTGGGCACCTTCATAGGAGATACCAAGGAGGTGTAAGCTCAGCTACAGAACATTTTCAAAGTAGAAAGTAGAGGGAAAGCACCTCAAGTTACTTCTAATGGTTTGCAAACACAAATCCCACTCTGAAAACATGTTAGATGCTATTCAAGTTACTTTGGGGCAACTGGCATATTGTACTGCAGTCTTTCTGCAATGCCATATGCTCACTTAACTAAAAATGGTGTGAAAATGCAACTTCAGGGGCTGAAGTTGTACGCAGCTGCCATGTGTCTTAACAAGCAATTTCAGCTTTCTCATGTTACCTTCAGTATGGGTGTGGTTCCTGCAACTCTAATGTTCAAGGAACACATGATCATTCATTCAAATTCCACAAATCAGTTTAAGTCACACAAAACTCATAATTTAAGGTGAAAATTTATGAGCCAGTAGTTAGGTATGTTTGATACCTGATTGACATCCAGCCTCTTCAAGTTCTCCAGCTTCCACTCTGCAAGAAATAACAGAACATGAACAACTACTCTATATAGATTTGAAAGGGATAATTCAGCTGACATTTAATGCCTTGCTGCTGTTTTCTGTAAAGTGCTGTTAGTAAAGAAAATGATAATTTGGCTTTAGGATGCTAGCTCAATAGGGGTTACAGATGGAACTCAACAGGCAGAATCAAGAAAATTCATTAATTTCAGTTCACATTCTCTTTTTATCCAACAGGATAAATTGCTGCCTGCAATTGTGACCCAGATCAGTTGAAGAAAGTCCAAGATTTTAATTTTTTTCAGCACAGTACAGAAAGTGATGCAGTACCTCCTGTGCCAACTAAATGATTCAAACTTGGGTTTAGGAGAAGGGTTGTTAAATCTCTTCAATGTTTTTTTAAAAAAGGTTAACCCAAGGTCCCAAACATACTGGTACAGAGTGGTACAAACATACTTCATGTCTGCCATAAGTAATACTGGCCACGACCAAGCTCAAGGGAAAAGTTCAACAAAAAGCTGGTTCAAAACCGTATTTTCATGCTATTCATTAGCTTCTGCAGAAATAAAGAAGAAACTGCCTGTTTTCTTTGGGAGTACAGAAGTTACTTAAAAACAAAGTTTAGCAAAGCTTCAGGTATTTTTTGGTTTTATGTCTGCTTTTACCAGCATTTAAATTTCCTGCCCCATTACACACACACTCTGATAGCACCACTTGCAGAAACATGACAGAAACATCACAGCCAGAAGTCTGCCTGGCACCTCAGACCATTGACAGTGTAGCCTCACTGCCCAAAAGTATCCTTTGGCTTTTCATGAAGTGGAAGTTTAGTGCATCAGAAGCAGGCTTCATTAAAAATACCAGTGTTTACTGGTTTACATAGTTGAAAGGTCTGGCCCATTTATTTTCTCCGAAGAGGCATTCAAATCCTGGGCCATACCATCCTATCTCCATTTTTTGATACACCCAGTCTGTGCCAGACCCAAATCTATCTCAGCTGAAATCAGCCAGACAGGAAACTTCCACATTTGCAGTACTGCACGTACCAAGCTTATTTTCAGCAATTAGTTCATATCACTGCTAGCTTTGGGGTTGAGTCCAGCTCCACTGTTACTTGGTCCCAAAAGCACCAAGAAGTGCAGCCATGTACCTTAACAGCAGTGAGACATACAGTTACAGCAAGTTCCCATGGCAACACAGGGGAAGCATTGCCAGCATTAATCATGAATTGTGTTACACTCACATCAAAATGAACACATTTGCTTCCTTTTGCTTCCCAGAAAAGGAAATGAATTTATATTTCTAGCAATGCAGTCTCTCATCCATATTTCTGTCATACAAATGCACTGTTTATTTTCCTTTAAATAACATTTTCTAATCAAAAATCTTGGAAAAGTGTCTACACGCACACAATGTGCTTAAGGTAAGAAGAAACTGTAGGTCTACTAAAGAAATACCTAGCTTTGTCAGAAGCTTTTACATCTCTGCTTCCCCTGCTCAGAGATTCCCAAAAGGCAGAGCTGTAGACCTTGGACCAGGAGCTGTAAGACACGGAGCCCAGAGCTCCTGAGGACGAGGACACACCTGCAGACTGACCAGCCCGGGCTGTACTCGTGGGAGTGAGACTCCTCAGGTGTATGTGCTGCCCATACTGGTTTACAGTTCCAGCTCACTATCCAGGTTTCCTGTACAGTGCTCAGCACACTTTTCCACCCGTTTGATAGGTTTTGTTTCTTTATCCTGCCCTGCTTTTATTGCAAGTCCTCTGAGCTGTCAGACACACAGTCCAGGGGAAACAGCAGGGAAGTGTTCGTTCACAAAGAGACCGAGTATGAGGCTACACGAACCAAAGAAAGTCTCACATAAAACCTCACAGAAACAAAAGTGAAAGGGGCACACTGAGCTCCCTCGCTCTCAGCAAAGCATGCCAAGCCCCCTCCAAAACCAGGGATATGTATAGGTGAAAAGAACCAACCCATGTCCTTCTGTTGCAGAAGGCCGTGCCTTCACATACAAGCTTCTCTAGACTTGTGCCTCAAGGCCACCTGGAGGGCCTTGTGCTGAGAAGCCAGAGAGCAGCTCTGTATTCTCTTTTTTTTCTAAAGAAGGGTCAAGCCAACGGCCAAATAGGTAATACTACACATTGCCCACAGGATGCAGGGCTGTCATCACAAGTCTTTCCAAAACGACTGTATGGCCAGGCCTGAGGGAAAGCAGAGCACAGGTGAAAGGACTGATGAGAAAGCTGTCATCCCACAGCAGATACTATGCCCTGCCAGCCATCCAAGGAGCACATTAATCTTTCCATGGCAAATTGGACAGACTAAGCCCTGCCTGCTGGCACTGCCTTAGGGGTATCAACCCTTGATGGCAATGATGAGAAGAGAGACAATTCACTGAGCTGCCTACAGCCTGCCTGCACTGAACTGAGCACAAGAAGTTTGTCAGCATTAAAAATATTCTGCTGTTTCCACAGATTCTTAACTCAGAGGAATTAGGGAGGATTATCAACAGATGCAAGAATTGAACATTGGTGCATACAGTTGCAAACCTCAGACATCGTTGTACATCAGTGACACAGCAGTCTTGAAAATGGTCTCCTCTCCTGCACAGCTTCAGTGGCTTTTGTATGGAACAGGAAGGGCAAATTCAAAGAACTTTTCAAGAGACTTCTTTTAAGCATCTTTTCTTTCATATGTTAGATTTGTGAAATTTTTGGGATTTTAACTTAATGGAGTAGCCGAACTGTAATGATCTACAAAAGTGCCAAGTTCCATTTCAACAACAATTTTTTCTTTACTTTTAAGCTACATAGCCTACTAGAAGCTATAATGTACTACCACAGAGATAACAATCACTTTTTAAGAAGATACTACTCAAACGGAGATTCAAACTCCCAAAATACTCAGAGACTCAAATCTCCAACAGAGATTATCCCTGGCAATCAAGAACTTGGAAAGATAGTGTCTAAACAGACCAACAACATGACAGCTGGAAAGCTGAAGAACAAATCCAGAACAATGTGAGGAGTTTCTCATGTTTGCTTTGTGGGGTTTTTTGTCTGGTTGTTAGTTTGAGGTTTTTTTAAAACTATCAGAAGGAAAATAGAAAGCAGACACAGCAGGTTGCATTCCCTTGTTTAAGAAAATACACATTTCCTAACAGATGACGGCCAAAAAGCTTTTGCTATTGTGTACCTGGGAGTCATCGCAACATTCAGCTTTTTTGAAATGCTCTGAGACAATTTTCATCATTACTTGAAGTTAAACACTGAGGTTTGTGCTACAGCTAGTGAGAATCAAGAAAAGTAACAGCTGTAAAAAGCAACTAGTACAGATCAGCCCTTAGAGACAGTGTCCTTAGGAGTCTAGCATCAGACATCACAGAAACCAAAACCAGTTTGGTTTACTCTGTTTTTTAATTTTTTAGGGTTTATAATCCCAGGTCTATAATCTTGTGAAGCTAGAAAAGGGTCTTCGGACATGTTAGCTTATCATGTTTCCATATAACAGCTTTTAACCTCTGGGAGTCTTATTAGGAATTAAGTCTTATCTAGAGATTTAAGTCTCTAGTGTTAAGAGTGTGAATAGCCTCCTGTGCCCAAAGAGAGAATGTCTTCAATTCCACAATTAGAAAAGAAAACAGACTGACATTATCTGCCCAGTTTTGCAATATCCATAGTCATGGCCTGTCACCTTTTCTTTCCACACCACAAAAAAACAAGTCATGTTTACCATAATGAAACGGAAGACAGTGCAATGGTTAAACACCTCCCTTTCCACCAAAATCTTGCAGTTAAGTTTTATATTTTGCCTACCTTTCAAAAAACTGTCTTCGAAGAACTGGGATGTGACTTTCTGCGGATAATTCACCCCAGCACCCCAAACAATCAGTGGTGTTAATGTTTCCGAGGGATGACCAGCTCCATGGGATCCTACAAAACACCAAACCGAAAGAAATAAACTTGAAGACACAGTGTAAAAAAAAGTGAAACCTACAGGCACATATGTACCAAGTTGTTTTTACAGTATAGATACTAAAATCTTGTTACAGACAACCCAGTCCAGCTTCATAGCTTTTTTTTTTATGCCACTAACACTAAATTCAAGTTGCAAGTTGGGAAATCAGTCCCACGTCAATCAAGCCTATAAAGATGTAGCTTTGTGTATTTAAAAAAAAAAAAAAAGAAATAACAAAACAAACTGTTAATATACAGAAACAAAAGCCAAAGTCGTTGAAAGCTTCAAAGTGGAAAAGAGTTATCTGCTCAAAACACATGCATGTACCTATCCTGAGCATCTCATGAAAACCAGTATTGGTTGATCTGAGCTCAAATAAAAAGCTACTAGTCTTCAGACTCTCCTCAAAGCCTGAGAAGTTACTCCTATCACCTGTTATTGCCCCTTCCAAGGACCCAGTACATAATGAGAGCACCCCAGCAGCACATCCTGGCAGCAAGGAAGACCAACAGCACTCTGGGCTCTGTTAACAGGAACACAGTCTAGGGAATGGATTATCCTCCTCTACTCAGTACCTGTGAGACAACCTCTAGACACTGCATCCAGTTTTGGGCCTCTCCAGCACAGGAAAGACATCAACCATCCATTCCACCATGGAATGAGCTCAGTGGGGGTCCCCCAAATAGGTCAGAAGAACACTTGTCCTGTGAGGAGAAGCTGAAGGACTGAGCCTCGTTCAGCCTGGAGAAGCAATGGCTTTGGGGAGGACATAACAGAACAGAAACACAGAATCGTTTTGGTTGGAAGGGACCTTAAAGATCATCTGGTTCCAACCCCCTTCCATGGGCCACCTCCCATCCTGCCCACATCCCACTGCGAGGGCATTTGAGAGGACAGAACCAGGGTCCTGCTGCGCTGCATGGAAGGAGGGTGAGAGAGAACAGGATAAGTTCAGACAAAGGAGGTTCACATGGCACATAAAACCTTTTCCCTTCCAAGAGGGTAGGCAAGCAGTAGAGCAGGCTGCCCAAAGTGGTTGTGTAGCCTCCATTCTCTGAGGCTTTATCCTGCTGGATAAAACCCAACCAACCGTGTCCAATTCCAAAGCTGATCCTGCTTTGAGTAGGTGGTGGGACCTTCTGAGGTCCCTATGATCATATATGTAAAAGGTACATATGCACACATCCCTTATAAAAAAATTATGAAATGATTACTTGAAATAGACAAAAAATATACATACGAATTAAAATTTTATTGCAAGTGCCAGTCAGCTCAACAGTAAATAATATTCAGAACAGATTTTGCAAATGAGCAGATGATAATTAGGCTGATTTTGAATAAATACAGAGATACGTCTGGCATCTTTGATGACAGAAAAAGTCTGCATCCCTTCTACTTGAAAAGTTTAGGATTTCACACACAAAATAAGATGCTGAATTTTGCCAAGACCATGTCTGAAGCATCCTTTGTTAAAAAGTATCACAATTAATCTAGTTATGCTAAAACTGCCCCAAGTCATTTGGCCATAACATTCACAAGTGCCCTCTGTGGGTACCAGGCTGGCTGGCTTCTGTCTCACTCTCCTTGTTTTACTCTCAGCAGCTCCACTTTCCAGTGCCAGCCTGAAGTGCTGGGGTTAAATCCCCATCTCTGAATGAGGGTTGGCATACGGATGATATCCTCAGCCAGGCAAGAAGGACCCTCCTGACTGGCTTCCACCCCAGGTCTGTCCAGCCTTGGGTGAGAACCGATTAGGAGATCTCCACCAGGTGTCCCTACCTTCAGCATTAACATCAGGTGTCCTGCTTCCAAGTTAACAGCATAATAGTCTGTTCTGCTTAGAGTGGTATTGGGGGTGAGCTTACCTGTGTAGTAAACATACTGCGTAGGATCTCCAGCTACTGGAGAGGCCCCCCAGCAGTCTCCTGTAAGCAGAGCCCCCAGCAGTGGTGGGACATCAGCACAGCTGGGAGCAGAGGAAGAACATTGGTGCTGTTCTTTGGCCACCCAACTAGAGCTGGACTAATGGCCTGGGCCCTCAGTCAGTTCACCTCCACCTCCACTGAACCCAGCACTGTGGGTGAGTCTGTGGCCCTCTTCGGTCCACCAGTGGTTGCCCACCTTGCACCCTTGGTGTGTGATTTGAGACTGGAGGCAGGAGTATGGCTGGTCTGCTGTTCATTTTTTTTTTTTCCTCCTTTTTTTTTTTTGTTGTTAATTTTTGTTTGTTTGTTTTTTTGTTTGGTTGGTTTGGTTGTTTTTTGGTTTTTTTTTGTTTCTGTATAGATACACAACTCAGCTATCATGGGGCTGATGAGATGCAGCCAATTACCCATTTCCTAATTTGCCTGGGTTTCATACATGAGAAACACTTGGGATATCAAATCAAAGGCGACACTCTAAAGCTTCTAATAGGACAGAGCTCTAATCTCCCTCCAGATACTCATCCATAAACTCAGCTGACTCAACATTTAAAAAGACTCACCCCAATCTGTCATCCCATGGTCAGAAGTTAAAATAAATGCAGTTTTCCCATCATTTCCATAGAAATTGTCAATCATTGAAGCAATTTCTTTTACACCCTCATCAACTTTTTTAATGTTCTCCTTGTATTCCCTAAAAAAAACCAAGCAAAAATGTTGTTAGATTCAAGGTGGCTCTCACACTTTGTATGAAACAAGTTATCCATGGTCCTAAAGCCCAGACTTCTGATTATATACACAGCCTTATCCTCAACAGAAGCTCAAGCTAACAAAATGCATCCTAGCTGTAAAATCTCTCCTCCTGTAAGTCTTATGTGAGGTATTAAATAATGACAGCACAATTTGAAAGCTCCTGAAACTACAGTTTCAAATGAAATTTTATTTATATATCAAATATGACCAGTCCTTGATTGAAGACTATAGTTTAATGACTCATGGCTATCACGCAAATTGAGGAGGATACCAAAACTAAGGAATTCTGGAAAACTCAAATGCCTTAAAATGTAAGTTTCAAAAATTACTGCAAGCCAGGAGCTAAATAGCAAAGAAATACCTCATCATTCAGGGACTCTACTGAGATGATTCACAGATCAGCACAGATCCCAGAGTTTTGTGGGATAGAATGTAACAAAAAAAAAAATCTGTATTTTTAGGAAAAGTCACCACAATTAACTTTCAACCAATTAATTTTCTATTTGTTGCTGGTGCTAAAGTCAGTTTTAAGACTCTATCTTCAAAAATATAACAAAAAGAACATGAAACACACAGCAAGTATGAACTCTGCAATGATGTAGGAAATCAGAACAAGGATTTTAGAAGTATGCAAGGATCAAGAGAAAGACATGATGTCCTACATTCAAAGCATGCGAGGAAATGAGAAGAAAGTTGTCAAATAATGCGCTTCAAGATGAATAGGTGATAAGTACTGTTAATACAAAGTCTTCTCTTTGTTCAAGTGTCCTAAAGGAAGCTAAAATACATTGCTGGAATCTGCAGCCATTATTCCAGAGCTTAATGTTGTCTCTAAATTCAAGTACACCATTTCAGCCACATGGAATCCAAGAACTGTTCCCATTTCACATTTAAAACTGCAATTTCCTACGCTCCTCCAGACTGTATGTTGACTAAGACAATTTGCTAAAAATCAGGCTTGAGTACAGAGTATAACCAGGCATGCTGTGTATAGCAAAAAAATGGTCACTTCCACTGAGGAGACCTTAAAAAAAACCCACACCCACACCTAGAGAATTCATAACTTAAGTAATCATGTTGACATGTATGACCTTTACAGAAACCATCAAGAGTACAAGTCTTGTTTCAGGCTTGATAAATAGCACTGTTAATAAAGTTACTGGACACATTTAAAACTAGTAAGAGAGAGATGTGCTTCATCTCACAATTACCTTGAGTTGGGCCGATGAGCATGTCCATTTGTGTCTATGCCTAGCAAATGCAGGAACAGCACCACTTTCTCTTCATTCAGTGCAGAGAACAGCGTTTGATTACTTCTGGAAGAATTAAAGAAGCTCTGTATGGAATAAGCCATTAAGATATTAATCTGAGTACAATGGAAAAAGTTGATAGGGAGCCTATTAAAACTAAAATGCAGATGTTTCCATGTCAAAATACAAGTAGTTATTAGAGTTACAGAGAAATTAATTACTTCCCAATTTACTTCTTGGAAGAAAAATACCATCAGTACAGTCAGTCCAAAATTTCAGCTTACCTAAGGCAACACTCCTCAGGTTGACATGTCTTTTTTCTCATTTTTGGGGTCTGTTTTATTTTTTTGTTTTGTTTGTTTCTTTAGGCAAAAATACCAGATAACTGGTTATCATCCCTTCTCTTTGCCTCCTGTATAATCACAACAATCAAACATTTCTAAGCAGCACTTATGGCTTTACATTTCCATTGACTTAGATTCCAAGCTGGATGCAAAGGTCTCAAATATTCTTGCTTTGGAAGCAGGTTCCACAGGACTGAGATACCAAGCTACGACTTGTTTGCAGAAACTAAAACCAGACCAAAACAAGACATGCTTTGCAAATACATGAACTACAGAACGTACATCTGCCTTGCACATGTCCTATTTAGACATCCCTGAGGCAGATGCTGGGGGGATTTTCCTCTCAGACTGAATGAATCTTGACAAGTCTATCCTGTGTTAGACCAGCCATATTACAGCAATGCAAAAATGCAGGCGGACAGCTCTTCCAGCATGATCTCCTTAGTAACAGCACCGCCCAAGGAAACAACGTTGGGTAGGGGTTTAGTTCAAAGAGCATCCAGAGAACCTTTCAGTACACTAATGTGAAGAAAAACGTCTTCAAAATTCAAACAAAAGGAAAAAAAAAAAAAAAAACGAAAACAAAAACAGGGAAAATGCTGGTAGAGTCAGTGACCCGTTTCTGCCACCAAAAAACAGAGCAGCCAACCACACATCTATGATATTGGTGGAGCTCTTAAAAACTAAAGCTCACACCCTGTGCTAATGAAAGTCATTACCATGGGCAGACCAATCTTGCAGAAACAGCATGGTAAGCCATGTCAGGCAACTATGGCAGTACACAATTCCACCTCCACCCTTTTGTCTCTCTGAATATATACAAGCTGCATGGATGAATACTTGCATACTCTCAACTTTAGCACTTGTCCAAACAAAAACATGACCATTTTCTACATAAAGATATAAGAACAAAATCCAATCACATTCAACAGCAATATAATTATTTTAACAGATTTCCCCTTCCCACAGGATTTCGTTCACCTGCACATATTTGACCACAGACTGAAGAAGCCTTCCAAAGCACACCAGTAATTTGCAGGATACACTATAATTCTGTTTTCTTATGCTTAATTAAAAGGAAACAATATATTAAAACAAATAACAGGAAATTCCCAAAATTAAATCTGAAAATGTAGATCAATATTAGAAGGCAGATGTTTTTCTGTCACGGACTAATGAAGCGAAAGAAACCACAGTGAAGAAAGCAAGGCCTGAGCCTCTCCTCTCCCACCAGACAAGTCCCCATGATGTATCAAAACCATCCCCAAAAAAACCAAACAAAACCACCACACAAAAAAAAGGAAGTTCACCACAAGGAGTTAATCTTAGGCTGACAAAGCTGGTCAGTTGGCATGCAGGACACCAAACAGCGGGAGGAAAAAACACTTCACCTTGCTGCTAAAGCCCTCTTCTTTTTGGTACTCAGTACTCAAAAAACTTGAGACACACTCAACACTAGTTTCCAAGCCACCATTGTAAGTTAACTGTATCTTTCTGTCTTAATCTTTTTGTTTGTTTGTTTCATTTGCTCTATTCAGCAATATTACCGCTGTTGTATAGTTTAGCTCAAAGCCACCAGGAAGTTTCAGGGATGGACGCAAACAACAGAGAGGCTGAGAGAACTCAGCTTCTCCAGTCTCCAGAAAAGGCAGCTGAGGAGAGATGTCACTGCTGTCTACAGCTGTCTACTGGGAGGGTGAAAAAAAGATTTAGCCAGACTGCTCAGAGTGTTTTGGTGATGGGATGAGAGGAAACTCACAATTTGAAATGTAAGTGTCTAGGTTGAGAGCTGAGCTGGCCACCACACAAATGACAATTTTTTTTTGTTAACCCTTTCCCTTCCCCAAAGGGGAAGAGGAAGGGAATAAGGGAGAGAGGCTTACTGATTGGAAAAAAAATCCCTAAAACGACTTTAGTGAAACAGTAACCATAAAAAGAAAAGATAATAATACTAGTAAGAAAATAATGAGAATAATTAAATATATACAAATATAACTTTAACTGGGCAAGGCCTGAGCAGCCTGCTCTAACCGACTCTCCTTCATGCAGGGAATTGGACTTGATGACCACTACAGCTTTCCTCCAGCCTTCTTTTTCTATGATTCTGGTACCTAACAATACATGATGCCATGGCTACAACTGAAGCATCCTTTAGTAAGATTAGCAATAAGTTTCCTATTAAAACATTCACAGTAAACTGTAACGTTAATTATAATATAATACTAATTAAAATATTACAAGAGAAGTTTTGTTACAACTGTGTTAAATCTTTAGTACCATCTCCTTCTTAGATGGGAGAAAGCAATGAAGAAAGAAGACTCCTCAGAAGGTTTAGCAAATACAAGATTTACTGATGTCTGAACAAAATACGGACTCCACAGATGTTTAACATAAGTTGTTGGGGATCATTTTTTCCTCCAAACAGAGCCCTCCATGGAAGCATCAGCCCTTAATAGAGCTGATAAACTGTTGCTGACTGCATGGATGTCTGGAGAGAAAGAGACCAAACAATCCTTCTCCTTTCACAAAGCTCCTTCACACATAAATCCAGGACAACTTAATTAATTGGTTGATTAAAGCTGTGCACATTGATTTGTGCTGATGTGAGAGTTTACATAGTTACACCAGTTTTTAGATGTAAAATAAATCTACAAAGGCAGGATAAACATATATATGCCAGGTTTATATCAGCGGAGCTCATGTTCAGACTTCTACACATTTAAAATATATCATTCAATCACTGCACTGCTAGTTATAGCAGAGCAATTTGTATTGAAATCCACTGGCAGAAATCAACACCAGGTCACAGCACTGTCTTCAGAGCTTCAAAGTTTAACATCATTCAAATCTGGACTCCAGCCCCCACCCTGTACAGAAGGGACAGTCTGTAAGCTTGGTCTGGCCTTTTTCCAGCAGAAAGAGGCCAAAGGAAGAATGAAGTACTGTGCTCAAAATAAGAAAATAAACAAACAAAAAGAAATGTTTGGCATCCGCAACTCTATGTCCATTTAGGCCAGAAGATATCAGCTGAATATCTTGAGTATTTCCTACCCTGTGGTGACAATAAATTGTGGTTAGAGCATTTTTGGGACTCATTTCCACAACTCTTCAAGTTCCTGGAATTTTAATTATTTTACCCTAAAAAAAAAAGTTTAATCTTAGGAAAAAAAATAAATCAAAAATGCATTAAAAAGACCCAATTTTCTTCCTGTTAGTTAACCTAGACCTCCAGTATTTAGCTCGCTAGTTTTTCTTCAGCACAGACTCAAACTACGATCTAGGCAAAGGTTTACTGAGAGTCATTGGGCCACGTCACACTAAATTACAAAATTACTAGATTTTGAAGGCTTCTGAAAAAAAAACCCAAACAAACAACCCTACTCCAGAACCAGAAAAAAACCACAGTCAATCAACTCCATGGCCATACTCCACCCTAGCCACTCCCAAGTTATTACTAAATATTAAAATAGTATTCTCAATTTTCTCTGCCCCAAGAATGGTCTAGGGCCACCTTATCCTACAAGCAGAAATTACAAGAAATGTCAGGTATACATTTTTTTCCTCCACTTATGCTTTAAGCAACCTGCTTCTGATCCATACAAATAAAAACTAGTCAGAGTTTCAAATCTCCTGACTAAGTTATCATTAGCAAGCACTTTTTGAGAGAATAAGCAATTCTAGGGTGCCAGCACAAGCAGGCCAAACATTCATTAGCCATTCTTCATTTTATCCCCATCTTTTTGGGGGCAGAAGAAGCCACAAGTGACCCTCATGATGCTTGGGACCTGCTGACTACACGTGGAGAGGGAGCCTTTTAGCACCTTAGTGCTTTTTACATCCTAAAGAGGCAGAAATCCAGGGATCACTTTACCTAACAGAGTTAAATGATATCTCATGAAGTAGGAGATAAAATTCAAAGGAGGAAAAAAGTAGGCAAAGCAGAATTTAACATTTTCAGCAAATTGATGTTCTTATTTACAATCTAATCAGCATAGCTGAGCTGAGTTAAAATATCAGTGACCTCAGTTTCAGCCAGCCTCAAGTTTCATGCTTCTGAAGCAATGACTGATGTGTAACTGAGGAGATGATTAATGGAATTAGTGTTTTACAGCAGCCAGTCAAGTCCTATCCATTCACAGTATGAAATCTAGATAGGCAAAATAAATCTTTCAAGTAATGGTTCTGGTCTCAAGGGAAAAGTCATCAGTAATGACACATACATCAAGCATCTCATCATAGTTTGAAAGAAGAAATGTCACAAGGTGTTCTGAAGCAAGAGAAAGGCAGTACCACCCTCACGTACCTGTGCAGCTCCAAATGACAGCAGGGCACAGCTTTAAGACAACAGCTGTTGAAGTGTAACTGACAGCCTAATTTGATTTGTATTGTTCATATGCACTAAAACATGCAACCTGGCACAAATTCAGGGGGAGGATGGCAGTTAGGAAAAACATCTTTTCATCTGCAAATTCAGCAAATCACTTCCTTTGAAAATTTGCAAACTGTAATGAACTTTTCCATCCTATGTCACTGTTTAAAGTAGGACCACCTTTGGCTTCCTAATACAGATGTTAAGTTGGTAAATCAATTTATTTGGTCTTGGTTTGATTTATTCTGGTTAGCTAATGTTAATGTATACAGCTCAGAGATCTTGTGGAAAAGTTTTCTTATGTCTTAAACGTCATTAATATTGCTATAAGATCCAGAAAGTAACTCACATAATTGGTCCACTGATATAGATATTTATACAGCAATATCCACTATCAGTATGTCTTAATCCATAACAAGTAAGGTAGCATGGAATAATATAAATATAGGAATTAATGAATGATCAGAAACTATGTGCCTTGGACTATTAGTAATTACAGTGACAGTGTCACAGAAAACAACAATCCTGAACCAGCACTGACCCAAGTCAGCTGAGTCACACTGCTTCAGGGCCTGAGCTCTCTCTGCCTCCCTCCTACTAACTGTGACTCCTCTGGCAGCCAGAACATAGCATGAACCAGAGCAGGCCATCAGGAGCCAGCTGCACACATCAGAACAAGCCCAAACATATAATTACAGTGCATACAAGCCTGATGAAACTAAGTCAATAATAGTGTTCACTTCTTTCTCATAATGAAGACTGACCGTTTCTGCCATGCCATAACACTTGTATGAAACCCTTAACTAATCACATTCAAGACTTTTAAGGGTCTCTAACTCTATGATAGGTTTCAGATTATATGCAAATTTAAGGTAAAGCAAACTCAAAAACATTGTTAAAGGATACTTGATTAGTGTTAGGCTTTTTAATTAGCCTTGAATGACAAATACTTTCAAGCCTCTATTACACGAATCATAACTGATTCAAGCAATTTTTACTTATGACCCCAAGTGATAGGTCTTTCAAGGACTTCTAACTTTCTAGTTCTATGATAAAGTTAACATCTTCTAGGATAAAGTAAAAATTCTTCCATGCTTCTTGTACACAGCTAGCATAAGGAGATTCTCTGCTCACCTTAACATGATCAAAAACCCATGTGTCAAGCTTGGCTGCATCTTCTGCTCCAAAGTCTTCACTTGCTGCTGTGTAACAAAATGTGTAAACGTGATCTCCAGTAGCACCTACAAAAACAACACAGATAGCAGACAAAACTTTTCTTTCTTTTCTCATAATCAACAATACACTAATATTAATGCATAGGAGTAGAATCCTATCAAGAACGACAATACTGAGAGAATCAAAGAAGTTCCATTCTTATTTTATACCTTCCCAGCATTTTTCTTTTTTTTTGTGAGCCTGGACACCATTTTAACTCATTAGTTTATCAGCACCTTACAGGAAGGAGGAGCAATGTTACCCAGTATGCTCAGGTGAGGAAATAAAGTATGGAAAAGCACATTGAACTAGAACAAATCCCAGTTAAAGGTAATGAAACAATTTAGTTTTGAAACAAAGACTTTCACTGAGAAAGTTCTAACACAAGAAGCTACACGTTAAGAGTTTTGTTTGAACACACATTTTTGGTTTTGGGTTTTTTTGTTTGTTTTGTTTGTTTAAGAAAATACTTGGCTTTCAGTTGTTAAACAATCACACAAGACAATGCCCTACCAATGAGGCCCTTTACACAAGAAAGCATATGACATATAAGGAAGGATGGATGTAATTTAGTTACTGAACATCAATTCTAGGAGGAAATGGAATACTGAAAACCAAGGGGTCAACTTCAAAAGACAATATTCAAAGTCTGCATCTTTAAAACATGGACTCAATATGTAAAAAGTAGAACTACTGGGCTATGTTCAGGCATACAGTACAATATGAGGGCAACTGATGTGAAAACACAATACGTGGACAAGACAATTTAATTCTGTACTCACTGTCAAGAGACGAAGCAGAGAAACAGAAAAAAAAAATCTAAGATCTAGAAAAAAGTGAAATTCTCAAGTCCTGGAAAGATATGAAGTTAGGTCAGGCTTAATGAAATAGTTCAGTCACTAGCTAAGCTGTTACAGCTTGGGGATGCTATTTCTACCATGTCCATGTAAAATCCCAGAGGGAAAAATGTTCTTCAATCAGTTGACAGCCAGAGAAAGATATAGCCAATTTGCTGCATGTCACAATTATATAATGCAGTTTTGTAAGCTTTCAGGCTTGTGAATGAACTAACATCCCAGTATAAGGGAGCTGTTTAACCAAGATTATGTCCAAATCCATGCAAAGTATTCAAGAATTTCAGGCCATGAAGATGAAAGCTGGCACAGATTTTCTGATGCAGCCCCCCTCTATCCCTCAGGAGACATTATTACTACTTACAACCCAGAACACTCATTCAGTTCTCAGTCTCAAAGAAAAGGAAGAAAATACTTCCAGGCATTAAGAAGTGAATTAAGGAGCTCCAATTGGTAGATAAACGAGTTCAAAGGAAGAAACAAGCCCCGGCCATCACTGTCAGGATGACTGATGGTCTAAAGTGTAGAGTGCTGTAGTGGTTTTCTTCAGTGTCACAGCAAAGGAGAAGATCTGTCTTTGAGAAGTGCCACACCAAAGAGCCAAATGAAAGCATGCAGTTTGCAGACCAGGCAAAGGCACAAATCTACTATTTACCCATTTCTAATTTCTACCAGAGGGGAAAAATAAAAATCTCACCAAACCCTGCATTGCCTTAGAGACAAACACTGGCAAAATGAAGCCATCCTAGATAGGTTTCAGAGTGCCTGCATATCTTATAGGATAACTGGGTGTTTTTTTCTAAGAAACCCTACTAAGCAAAACTTTCATTTTAAAGAAACCCTACTATGCAAAATGTTACAAAATCTTATTCTGTTTCTGTTGTTTAAGAGGTGTCAGGCCACAGTATGCCTAATACTCCTCTATAGAATCCTCAGCCATTTCATTGAAGTATTTATTTTATGAGAGAAAAAGGACCTGAATAACATAGACAATGATAGAAAACAAGAGATTTTTCTCTCCCTCCCCAAAACCAACAGGTATCAGATAGCTTTTATGCATTATCCAGTGAAAAAGGTGAAACAATTATGAACATTTTGGCATGTTAAAATACAACCAAGAACAGTCCTATGACTTCATTAATTTGCAACATCAAAAGAGGGAGAAAATGTTAAGCTATGCTCCTCTACCTCCTTTTTGGCTTTTTTTGTAGAAGTAAAGTTTAAGAACAAACACTTGATTCCATTCCCTCCTGTATTATAAAGCTTCTTCTCTTTGGAAGAACGGGAAATACCTTCTACTAAAAGAAGTATCAGTATGAGATAGAAGTACCTTTCTATCAGGAGAAACAATGATTCATTTTCCCATACAGCAACTACTTCTCAGATACGCTGCTGAACTAAACCTTTCTCAGTTTGGGGGGCTTTCCTTCACCCTGCAAAAGAAAGCTCCATTGTTGATGCCACTTAGAACAAGCCATATTGAGAAATGTAATAATGGTATGGTATTACCATTCCACATCCCTCCAGATGACAGCAAAGCCACTTCCAAGTCCCCTGATTATCTTCTTGCTCAAACAAAACTAAGAGAAGGATAAGGATCTGGGAAATCCTTGAATTCCCAAAATATTTTCCCAAGAACTTATCTCCAAAAATGTAAACAGATTACTATGCAAGAAGAGTGTACTACCTTTGCCCTCTCCCCAGCTACCATCATACTATTCCCAAACAGAAGCTGTAATCCAAAGTCACAGGAAATTATTAGGAGATATTTTCACGTTTTACTACAAATTTATGAGGATCAAGCAAAGAACAGAAAAGAGATGGGGGGATTGAAACATTCAGAAGTAGAGGGGGAAAAGACCAAAGTTCAAAAAAGTTCAAGAATGATGGCATATATGATCTACACTTTTTCTAAACTAATATTAGCTTCCACTCCTATCCTGCCTATCACATTTTTCTGTTGTTAATGTCAATACTTAGTATTGCTAAGAACAGCAGCATATGCCCCTAGGTTGTGCCCTTTTCAATTCAGTCTATTTCATTCTGACATTATGGAAAAGGATTTATATGCCCTCATTCTTCCAAGAATAAAACAAAATTAAACTTGGGAGATCCTCTAAATGTTTGAAGTGTCACTGAGTAATCTCTGCATGCTCATATACTAATTGCATTAGGTTGACAAACTTTAAGACACTGTACACCACGGAGAAAAGACCTCAGCTTCAGGAATAGTTACCAGGCAGTTCCTATTTGCATACTTGCACAGTTCTTCCCTTTACACATTATTGTTCTGAAGTAGAAGCAGGATAACCCACAATAAGCTGCTTCTCCAGCTCAGACACTCAAAAAGCATGGCTGCAGTTCCATCACCCGACTCAGTGGGAGCTGCATGCAGAAGAAGAAAAACACCAGCTGCAAGCTTGCAAACAAGAGCTTAATATTAAGTCCTTTTAACTAAGGGCATGTCTCCTTTAGTATGCTGACAGAATTAGGTAAGGCCTATTTAAATAGATGAGTAATAAATCGGGATATTCTCTCCAGAAGCTTCCTTCTTTTTCTCCACCCAGTCTTAAATTCACAAACTAAAAATTAGTCATACACAAATATATAAACTGGAAATATTTAATTCATCTCCTTTTCTAACTCAAAATTTCTGAGTGTCACTATTTTACTACTCAGTAACTACACGTTAAAGATTCACAAAAATGAAACCTTACCTTTTGCAAACATTGGCAAAATATCCGGGCTTCCCCAGCTCCAAGTATATTTGCTTTCATTGAAAACAGAGTCAAATTCCACTGGATTCTCCTTCCACCCTGTTAAACAAACATACCTGGATGTAAATGATGTTGCCAGAAGAGCTCATTGACCGCTAAGAGTGATAGTCAATGCAAAATGTTTTCTAAGTTGTTGGGGGTTTTTGTTTTGGGTTTGGTTTTTTGTTGTTGTTTTTGCTCCCTTCATACTATTTTCACAATGAACTCCACTTTGAGAGTCATGATTCTACTTCCATTTCAACCTCTCTTTGCAATTAATCTCCCATTCATTAAAAAGTGAGCTGAAAACCTAAGCCAATTTCCCAATTCAAGCACACAGAATACCTTCTAAATAGCTAAAACTCTCCTAATTCTAAATCCCCTGTTGTTCTGAACTCAGCTTTTGGCGTTTTAGGGAATAAATTATACCCATATCATACTTCCAAGAGTCACATTCCACCTCTTCAAAATAAAACCTTCAAGATCTTCTGTCTCCATGACAAGGCAACTGACAGAAATACAGAGATGCTTTTAACAACAGTTCCTGTCAATCCTGCATTTGTAGCTGCTGTCAGAAGAACCTTTTGATTACGAATATGGACAAGACCAAGTAATTCCTCTTAATTTCCATGTGCAAACCCAACACACAACAAGTGTTCAGGTGTGGAATCCTGGAAGAAGTAGAGGACCACAAAAAGGAACAAGTCGGTAATGTGATGTTGATTGTTCCACTATTAACCAGCAAGCATGCAGTAACAGATCTGGACAAAACACATAGTTAGGGTTTTTGCTTTTTTTTTGCTACTAATTCTCCAACTCAGCCTAACAATGGTTCAGCAAAGGCACTGCAGTTCACATTCCTTTGCAGTATCTACTTAGCCATTTCCCATTACAATCCAAATGATAATAAAACCACTGTTACATGAAAAGGTCACTCCACAAGATACTTCTGCTTTTAGACTCAGGGTGATAAATTTTACCATGTTACAAAGTATTAATTCATGCAAGTTATTTTCATAGCTGTCAATATTAAGAGCAGGAAATTAATCCAGAATTATTCTTTTCAATATAATTTTGGTATACAAACTACTATGCAGGCATTTTTCAACAATCATTTAGAAGACCAGCACATCACTGAAACACCTTATTTTAGAGGAGAGTGTTCAGAGCTCTAGGACCAGCATACCTTTAGCAACTGCACTGACATCTTCATAAAACCCAGCTATCAGTGCAACATGCCCTGGTCTGGATTCTGTTGGGACTCGGGTGTGAGAGACTCCCCAGCTGCCACTGTTCTCTAGAATACTCCTGAAAACAGGACACAAGGGAGTTAATGCTGATGACTTGCAAGTACAATGAACTGCAGATAGAGTGTCACAGGTATATGTGAGGCAGGAAATAATTAAAAAATAAAAGCCCAGAATAAAACAGGTTTTCACCACCGCCTGCTGTGCAGCAAAGCAAGCAGAATGTTAACCTGCAAGTAGTTCTATATTATAACACCCCACAGAGAACATCACCATTGTGGCCTACCAGCACTGCAAACAGAGGGCTGGTGTTCAAATGCACCTAGAGTCGGCATACTATTTTGTTCTGCTGCTTTCTACTATAGCTTACTTCCCTGCCCTCCAACAGACTGTTTCTGCCTGGTGCTACTTTACTTTGGTATTTCCATTTATCTTGAAAATGTCTAGTTCAATCTTCTCTTTCTTATTAAATATGCTCAATTATAATCAGCTCTTGTGACCATGTCTGCCTTTATCTCTGTTAATATTGGAAGTCAGCATCAAGAGAATTTAAAAACTACATACATCTAAGGTGCAAATTACTTCAGAAACATGGAGAAAATTTAAGTAAATCTTCTATCTTTTGCAATTACACCAAAGAGAAGAATACATTCTCATCACATATACAGAAACACAAATTTTCTAGGGATTATGCACATACAAGGACAAAGTCCTAGTGTAAGAAACAGCCTCAAACACCTCTTGTCTGCTGAAGAAATGAATAACTGTAGCCTGTCAGAGAGCAAGCAGTGAGCATCACCATATGCTGTTTTCTTGTCTCCATCTTCTGGAAGAAGAGAAAGATTCACCACCCACTTGGAGAGTAAGGGGAGGAAAAAAAAGAAAACAAAAACCACCAGGATATGCCTTATATTAATAGTTAGGAAAAAAGCAGTAGAATCTTCTGAATAAATTCAATGCTGTTTTTAAGCATCAAAGCTGGCAGAAAATTGTATTTTTGTTGGTGAGGATATAAGGTACAAAATTTGCTATATTTTTATTGGATGAGTTTTAGACCAAGTATATTCTAAGTTCATGCTTTGTTGCTTTATTTTTAACAGAAGTTTTATACAGCTGTTAATTACAAGGCCCATCCACTCAGCTCTAATTATATTTCTCACTAGTGAAGTAAGAATCAAACCACAACCTAAAATTTCAGGCTCCACCCTAAGCTTGCAGGATTCACAATTTGCTTGTTGTTTGGTTTCTGAATTCATCTTAGACCTCACATTCTCATCTCTACTTGAAAGTTCACAGGACTATCTTGAATAGCCCAAATATTACAATAAAAAATTTAAAAAGTAATATAGCACTCTGACATGTTATTCCTAGCTCTCATCTCAGCTAGGTTTTAAGACAAATTGTACTGAAGAAAGTAGTAATTTGAAAAAAGATTTAAGTATCAAAGTGGTTTCTAATTTATTCTCACTGGAGAATGAAGAAAATGCATTTCACTAGACAAAAATAAAACACTTTCAGTCCACCTCATACTTCACTGTCACAACAGGCAGGAAATAGTTTTAATTAGCATTGGATTTTTATTAAGTTGGGAAGTAATCCTTTGCCTTTGCTTTTGTGGGACTGTATCCTAGGATCTGAAATCAACAATACACACAATGAAGGAAAAAAAAAAAAGCCATACATTGTCATTTTCCTGTTCAAAATTCACTTAGCAACCTTGAATTATTTCAAAGCCTTTTACTCAGAAGAATCATTTAAAAATTAATTTCCTTGAAAGTATAAACACTAGCTACCTGTAATAACAATGATGAATATGGGTAGAATATAGTAATAGAGCTGAAACATGACTGGCAAAGAAGAAAACATCTTCCCTGAAATCATCACCACAGTAATTCAGACTACTTGTAATCCCTCACAGCTATCACAACACTGCTGAAAAAGATTTTTCAAGAATATTTGTAAGAGAAAAGACTAGGTACTTGTCATGTATCAGCTGGTAAACTGCTCCAATCCTGATGGTTATTTATTATTTAATTTATGTACCTACTAGAAGTTTGCTTCTATGTATAGCACACTGCTACAAGAGTGGTTCTCGCTTATTTAAAGCTAGTCTTTCCTTACTAACAAGGCAGTAGTTCCCAAAGTGCTCCACCTGGCTGAGACAAAGGTAATCTGGCTGTTGTTGACCACTACTATAAAACAGATAAGGGACTGAACACTTGGCATTTAGGAATGAGTGTGCAAAAAAAGTGAACTTTATAAAAAACTGCATATACTTTGCGTTGATATTATTGAAAAAAGATCAGACAAAAACCACTTGGCAGAATAAAAAAGCAAACATTTTTAGCAACCAGCTTCTGATCTTGTCAGCCTATTTACAAGGTTCACTTAAAAAGTTGTGTAGCTTAAAGTTTCAGTGACAAAACACTGAGCCTCTTGCTTTGAAATTGTAGTAGCATATGTAATATTGCTGAAGAAACAAAGCCTGTAACTCCACAAACAAGGAACAGCAGAGATAGCAAAAGTGCTACCTTCCCAACACTGGGCAAGCTAGTGCATGGTTTCACTTTTTATTTCTAGATAAATGTGATATTGCTGAATGGCTGAAATTTAAAAACTCAAATCACTTAATGGCATAAAATAATCCATTATAACTCTTTCCCAAGCACCACCCAACACTTCCCCAGTGGTGGAGCCATTATGGTGTCCACTGTTTGTTGATGGTGCAAGGGACCAACAGTTTTACCACTAAGACAAGAAACTGCTTTGGAGGAAATGTGAAGCCTGCTGCTAAAAGACAACATGGAAGACTCACACTGATGTGGCAGACATCTGCCAGTGGCAGACAGCACCTCACAAAAACACTACAACAGGAGAAGCAGGTACAAGTAATCCAGTATAAACTGGCCAATAGTGCAGGAAGGGCTCCTCAGATTTCTGCAGTAGACTGCAAACACCCCAGCAGCTTCAGAAGACTGATTATTTGGGTTTGCTCTAGTATTTGAGCCAAACCAGTGCTATTACACAAAGTAGTCTTATTTAATACTGTCTACTTCTTTTAGTCTATGAAATTATTTGTTTTATGATCAAATCATTATCTTGGTTTAAGGAAACAGGGAAGTTTGGTGAAGTTTAGCTTTAAGCACTCAAAGACATGACTTTTAACACTTTTTTTGGCAGAACTAGTTTTTCACAAATCATTCCATTAAGCAATCAGACACACTAGAGAGCGCAACAGAGGCAGCAGGGTCACGCCTGCAGGAAGGGTGGAACAAATAGGAAGTGGCAGCCTGCTGTTAGATCCGTTCAGACCATCTTTTTTAATCACTCCTTAAAAAGCTTCATCAGTAGCTTAGAAGACAAGCATGTTAATGAACTGCTACTCCTAGGAACACCTAGGAACCAGCTTATATTAACGACTCCGTTAGGCTTCAGAACTGATACCATGCTGATGTGAATAAAGTTCACACTCCTCTCAGTACCTGGCTAGCTGTGATTTTCAGAGGACCATATTAGCTCTGTTTACTCTGTTCATGGTTTAGCAGCTTTACTGACAATAAGGGACAGCAACTCAGACTAGAGTCATGCATTTCTCCAGAGTGTGACTCTGCAAAGCTTGTTACTCCAAAGGCAGAGGGAAGGCAGTACCCAAGCCATGACAGCTGCCATTATTCCCCCTGCTCTCCTTCCAAATTTACACAGACCTGCCTCCAGAAGCAAAATCTTCTGGATGGGGAGTGTTTTCAGCTGGACTTACCGCAGGTAGGGTGCTGGAGGTGTCCCACTGCTGCTCAGTTCATACAGTGCATCTGCCCGCAGACCATCGGCCACAAAGAGCACGAGACGCTTCGCTGGAGGCGGCAGTGGAGTCTGCTGAGGAGTCATACCATGAACCAGGGGAGAGCTGAAGTAGATGTCAAAAATGGAGACCAAGAACACACAATGCACAAGCAGACCAGCGAGTATGAAGACTGGTATAGCCATGGCAACAGTGGGCTGGCAAGGTAAAGTCCAACACTGAGAGGGAGTGAGGAAAATAAAGTTAGGCACATGAGATTTATCAAAATCAGTATTTGTTTGTTATAGAACAGGAGACCCATAACCACAGACATTTACCCAGGATCTGTAATCAATCTGTGCTTCCAAACAGCTTTTTCCCAGAAGTTTTGGTCAAAAGTCATCGTGTAGCTATTTCAGACTTTCATACAGTCATTACATCTCAGCAACTCACCTCTGGTGGTTAGTGGGGTATCAGATGGCTTCAAAAGACCATTGAATCAAGCCACTTTGTCTGATATTTAGCAGTTTTTTGGTACCTACATCAGTGACAGAAGACTCATAGCACAATGTCTTCATGAACATGTTACTGTCTGCTGGCTGACTGCATGACAACGTTGAGTAGTGTTCAGGCAAACATACCCAAAGACAACTAAAGAAAATCATGCTACAGCAAACATCCGTCCAAAGCTGCTTTAAGTTTACTCTCAGCTCTGGGCCCATTATCTTCTGCCTTGAAACAGAAAATTTGTTTAGAAGAAACAACCTTGCTTTGCTGAGTGTGAAACACTATTCCTCTTCTAAAACAGGTGACAAAAGCACAAGAGATGAAGGATTATGTTTCATGGATAATGCTATTCCCTTTTTTATGTTTTTTTTTTCTGCCCTGTTGTCCTCTGAAGTCAGGTTAGGGATATAAATACCCTTAGTAGCAGGTACACTGGATATGTACCTGTCTGCCCCACATACTGAGGGGTCCATATGATGCGGGCTGAAGGCAACAGGTACGTGTGTATCAGCTCAGGTACGTGTGGGCTCTGAGCCTGAATGAGGCTTGGTTTTGACAGTTATCTGAATCTTCTCTCACTGATGTAGGTACCAAAAACCTGCTAAATACGAGACAAACTGTTAGTGCTGTTCAAGTTCCTAACTTATTTAAAGATGAGCTAACTATCAACCTTAAGAAAACAACACCTCTATCCATGAATTTAGAAACAGATGTTCCTAATAAGCGCGAAGGTTCAGCTCTTCAGTTCCCTGTGTAAGCACACACTTGTCTCTAAAGAAACTGTTTCAGAATTCAGTTAGTTCTTCTCAGTGACAACACACGTGTTTATCTTGTTACTTACAGAATTCCAGTAGCTGGACACAGACAGCCACCACACAGTAAGACTATTATTCTTAAAAAATAAAGAAAAAAGGCTTCACTACCATATAACCTTAACTATGATCAAAAGTCTGAAAGATCTTTTTTTTAAATACAAATTTTAAAGGGTCAGAAGAGATGGATGAAAAGAAAAAACCATGCACTAAAAAAAGATTTGAAAGTTAATATATATTTTTACTTACTAACCCAAAGAAAATTCGGATCTGCACTTAGCTTCACCATAACTAGAAATTCCACCCATTTTCCCTAGTGAAATACAGATGCAGCAACTCCAACCCAATGTAATTAGAAACATTAATACAGCACTTTCTCACTTTAGAGATCTGGAGAGAAAAACCACATACCAAGATTAAAATAACTAGATACAACATTCCAAAGAGACAGGGTAGTCACACTGAAGTGATCAAACAAAAACTTTTCATTCATCAGGACTGTACATGCTTCTATGTCTACAAGTGAGATTCCAAGAGAGACTTGGAATATTTGTATCAGTTCGTCCATTTTTTAAGTTCTCAGGGTTCCTGTATGAATTTAAATACACAAAACCACAGCCACAGAAATACCATTAGGTTGAATGCCAGACCTCATTTTATTCAGTGCTGTATTTCCCATAGGGCTTTTTCTTTTGATGTAGTGTTTGACAAGAGAATCCAAACTACCCATGCCTTAAACTGATTAGTCTAAACATCCTACTAAACAAAGCAGTTACTTCAATCAGATACTTGCATACAGTATATAGAACAGTATACTCCCAGTGCTACAGTTCTGTAGCTTAACATATTCTAAATTCTTTTAATTAAAGTGTTAGCAACCTAATCTGTTTTGAGCTATTTCTCTTTACTTTAACCCTCCAAGGCCTGAACCCTTGCTTGCAGCAAAAATTGCAATCAACACAATTCAAATTTAAAGCACAATCTGATCAACACAATTTCAAACGTACAGTCTAAGACCACAGAGATTTTCTTTTGCAACCACAGTTTGACTACATTACACTACGTTGCTAGCCTGAAGTTCATTTAAGATAGCTGATTTGTGAAATACATCCTCTTCAAACATCTAAAGTATCATGGAAGAACAAAACATTTCCAGTAACTGCTTTTCAAGGAAGCTCTTCATTACTGCCTTAGTTTCTCTGGGAATTCCAAGCCAGAGCACCCATCCTACCCATGCAGCACAAACACCCAAGACCAGGCTTATTTGGACAACTCTCCACAGGTCCATTCCTCTGTGTCTGCTCCTCTCAACACATGGCATGCCACTAGGAGCCCACCCACATTTCATCTCAGTCCACAGGACTAATACATACTTGACTATCAAGAAGCATTAAAGAAAAGCAAGCAGGCACATGGATGACATTCCTTGCAGAGATCTCTAACAGTTCAACAGGGATGGTGGGAGAGATCTCACACAGCAGAGCAAGGAGTCTGTATCAGAAAAAAATGACTATGCACATTAGTCCTCCCAAAGGGAGATGATGTCCAGGGGAAGGGCAAGGCTTGGGTCTTTGCATGCAGTGTGTCAAGCTTCTGGTTTTCACCCACGATTCTGAAACATTAGTTTGCCTAAAAGGTATGGCAATACAAATGAAAAATGAGGAAACAGATTTCCAAAAAAGCTTTTCCTAGAGACCAAAGACAGCCAGAGGGATCCTCACGCACACTGCCTGTGACAGACCCTGCAACCACCATATATACAGACCAGGTTCTGAGCCATCCTACTGCAGATAAAACAGTTGCCAAGACAACACATTCAGTCATTCAAATTCACTGAATTAGAAAATTTACTTACCAGAGACCTGACAAATACATCTGGAAAGAAACAGATTCAGATACTAATGAACTAAAGTATCCCCTGTCAAAAAAATGCCTTCACTAGGCCCCTCTGAACTTGCAAGTACCATAGGCAAAGACAGACATGGGTGGAAGCCAGTGAACAATAGGCTGAAATGGCTCCATACTATATAAAACCAGCCTGCATTTTGAGAAGGGGCTTGTCTCAGTGATCCACTGCTGCGCAGAAACAGGTCTTGGCTGACACCACTTCATTTCTTGGCTGAATTGCTACCAACTAGTAATTCACACAGTTCTTTTAACTAAAGAATGCCAGTAAGACAGGACATGAAAGAAATCAAAAAGAGCATCAGAGGGTCCTTTGTCTCTTCTAGAAAGGGAGATAAAGCAGTTACCCCAGCTACAATCTAAGTTAAGGCTGACTGAGCTGACATGACTCCCACCAGAATTTCACTATCAACATTCAATTGTAAACTTTTTTATTTCAAGTGTTCTATGCCCTGCAAATCAGATGACAACCCTCTTGTCTTCTTTGGGAATGCCAAAGTCACTTGAATTCACATTTGCAGGTATTTAAACTTCTTAAATCTAGGATGGGCTACCACCTTCCTTTCTGCTGTGGAACAAGATAATTTTGCCCATGCATTTCCAGCTACTTATATGAAGAGTCATTAGTTAATGGATCCAAGACTAGAGAGAAAAAAAAATAAATCTTTTCTTGGAGCAACCATCCATCCACTGGAACCCTATTACTAAAAGTCAACTTACCATGGATCATTGAATTACAAAAGGTAAACCATCCAGGAAGAAAGCAAAGGTAAAAGACAAAGGGACCTCTCGGATTTATGAAGGGATCTAGAGAGAAAACGAGGATTAACACCACATAACATTTGTGCTGTGTAACTGCAGCTACAAACATCTGTGGCAGGAATGGAAGAAAAAGGTGAGTATTTCTCACTACTAGTATGAACTGGGACTCTTGTAGTCATCTCTCCATTGCGCTCCTGCATGAGGAGCCATCAACATGGAGAGGGGAAGCTAAATATTTATCTTGAGAAAATCCTTTACCTGACAAGATCTGGACATGATCTTCATCAGACAGAAAAAGGAAATTTAAGAAAAAGGAGATTTGTGGATAAACCTGTGTAGCTCTCCTGTAACACCTGGGTTTTTTTCTGCCTATGATATGCTCCAGCATCACACCTTTTTTTTTCTCCCACCCATTTCCAAGATGAGTGGAATCATCAGTTGATCTGTGTTCTCAAAGATGCAGTGCAAGGTCTTGGACTGCAAGTCCAAGGAGGCAAGTCACTTAGCAATAAACACTGCCTCCAAAAACAGTTTGAATCTGCAGGTCCAATGTGGGAACCAGAGGCTGACCAGGATCTTGTAAGTGTTCTGACAAGCCTGTCAGCATCAGGAGGAGCTGCAAATGGAAGCATTAATATCAAACTCCTTGGTGCCTAGCAGCTTTCTGGCACACTTTTCTGGATGGCAAGAAGAGAAAGCGACTAAAATTTGGGTGCTTAGATGTGCCTCAAACCCATAGTGTCTACTCTCATGCCTTCTAGGCACAGAGAAAGACCAGCTAGCACTGCATATGCATCTGCCATAGCAGGAAACAGGCCTCTCTATACGCGATTTCTCTGTATCTCATATGAGCTACAGAAATAAAATCCAGCTTCTATGAGAACTACACAAAGGAAAAGAGTCCTCCAGTTTTCACCTCCCCCCTTCATTTAGAGGTCATCATGAGCAAATTTCTTTGTAGGGCCTGTTGCTTTATGGTTCAAGTCAGAAACTTCACAAAGCATGCTAAAATGAAGAAATAACACAGAATCATAGAATTGTTTGGGTTGGAAAAGAGCTTTAAGATCATTGAGCCCAACCATTCACCCAACTCTATCAAGTCCACTGCTAAGCTATATCCCTAAGCATCATACCTACATGACTTTTAAACACATCCAGGGATGGTGGTTCAACCATTTCCCTGGGCAGCCTGTTCCAGTACTTGATAACCCTTTCAGTGAAGAAAACCTTCCTAATATCCCACATA